CTTGGCTCTGCTCCTGTTGTGAACTACTCTAGTAAGCACAACAGGCCAGTATGTAGCAAGGAAACCTCAAACATAACCATTAAGTATCTTTACAAAACAAAGTGGATTTAGACCCCCCCACACACACACACATTCCTTCTAGTGATATTCCTGCCTAATGCCACTGGGAGGCCCCTGAAAGCCATAGGTCTGACAAGGCATTTGCAGCGATGCTTTTGGGAGATGAAGAATGGGACATGGAAGATGACAGTTCTGACTCCTCTGCATGTCTCTGTGTCTATGCATCTCTACTGCTTTTGAGTTCTTTCTACATTTTACATTGCTTTTGTGCCTTTCCTTTCCCTCCTCCATATTTTTCAATCTCCATTGGTCTAAAATAAGGAAATATTTTAACGTTTGCTCACGTTTCTTGAATATTTTAAAATATTTCCAATTTTTTCTGTCGTCATTGTTTACCACCTTGGGTGAGTGGATGATACTTGGCAAGAACCAGGTTAACAACTTCTCACCATAGGAGTACCATTGGGCAAAAAGCCCATTGTGAACCAAATTTCTGTCTTTGTTTCTAAGTAGCCTTTGCCAGACTTTTCCTTGAAAGCAGTGTTTCTTCATGTGGACAAGAGAATTGGGCTTTTTCCCTTCTATTCTTAGCAAGTGTGAATGAAGAAAGAATAGACAAAGGGTTTAACATTCTCAGAACACAGGCAGTGAATAGAAGGGAAGTACATTTGGCTGTTCATGATAGAGCAAATGAGAAGGCTTGAAGATTCCTTGTTCTTGCCTGCCACCTTCTGGAATACAACTCTGAATTACCTTAAAGATGAGAACTGCTAGAGAAAATATTTCTGGATTTTAAATATTTTGGAGCATATTGACATGAATATGAGATCTATTTGACTATGACTTTGGATTAGTTGATTAAATTCTTGATAGTCATTTTCTCTCTCTTTTTCCTTCTTTTCTCAGTCCCTACCACAAAAGGGAAATGGTGAGTAGAGAAGATGATAGGGCAGAGTGAATCCTCTAGATCTTCACCTTAATATTCTGAGGCAGCACCTGCTAACAGAGTCTGTGGTAAAATTTGGAAAGCTTCCTATCCCTCAAACATGTTTCTGTGCCCTTGTACACTGGTGTCTCTCTCCTGCAGATCCTCATTTTCACCCATGAAAATCCCTGTTCTTCCTGGGCTATGATTTGCTTCATGATGTCTTCCTCTATGGAAGGTGCCTCCCCCTGCTCAGCATTCCTAACTCTCTGTACCAGTCACAGGCCATATATTCCCCAGTGCCTTTTATTACAGGTCCGTGGGCCTATCATGCTTCCCTTGACTAAGCATTCTGGGGACAGGAGATGCTTGGATAAGTTATGGGAGCATACCCCTGTCAGGAATTGTCCTAACAGCGAGTCAGGAACATCCATGATACCACCCAGGCAAGATAGCAATACTCCTTATCCCTCATTTTTATTGCTGGAGAAATGTTATGCTGTTCTGAATAAGATGCCTAGGTATAGCCATGGTGTCAAGGAAAAGGAAGGGGCCTGTGGCACTGGAGCACATGTTCCCAATTCATCTCTTGTTCTTTATGTTCCCTGAGTCAGAAATTTAGGAAGGAATGTTAGATACTGAATTGTCAGTCACCCATACTTCTCAGAAGAGAACTCTACAACAATTGGCATGTCTGGAAGGCACAGCAGCATGGGACCGAACCAAAAGGAAGCAGAAATAGTGCAACTATAAGAGCATCAAGAGGATGCTCACAAAGAACAGAGTGAGAAAAGGAGGTACACTTCAGGCTTCTGGGGTCTTTGATAGAGTTAGTTCTCTAAGGAACATAAGAAGCGATAGAGTTATATAGGGTTTTTGTCTGGATGAGCAAAATTGGTCTTTGGGAGCAGAGACTATGGGAGCTCATACCTGGGTGTGGGCCACAGTTCAGGACTAGTGCTGTCTATAGCTCAGTGAGGGCAGTGGGAATTGGGAGCAGTTGATATTCAAACACAGCCTCCAAAAGAGAGTATGGCTTTTTGCAGTCACTTCTGGTCTTACTCTTGAAGGATAACTTATAAGGATTATTCTTAGTTTTTTGAACTTCCAGGATCACTTGATTTATCTCTTACAGGAAGCTATTATATTCATTATAAGAAATGTTAGAGTACAGATCCCTTGTAAGACATGTTACATTAGATGACTTCTGGTTGTTTTCAAAATCTCAGACTCTATAATTCTGAAATGGTAAGTGTTCATTATATCTTTCTTAAAGGCATGAATGAATTAGTGAGTGAGTGATTGCATGAATGAATGAGTGAGTGCCTCTAGCAGGCAGAGCCAAACTAGGAACTCAAATGGAATAGTCTTAAATATTCCAATCACAAGAAGGAAACAGCATATGAACAAAGGAGGCCATTATTAGTATACCAAAATGGCTACAGTCCTTAGGTTTAACCCTCACATGGCTTAAACATCCTCCTTCCATAAGCAAATTCTTTTTACAGACTTTGTAAATGGTTTCTGATTATCTCCATCTGAGGTGGCTGTATAAAAATTACCAACAAGCCCTGACCCTAATGTTTGCTGTAGAGGAGATCAACAGGAACCTAACCTGTTGCCCAAGCTTACCCTGGGATTCCACCTCTACAACACCTACCACAGTGATGAAAGGACCTTGGAGAGCTCCCTGCGGTGGCTGTCAGGGCAGGGCTAGCTCATCCCTAACTACAGTTGCTGGGGGCAGCACAAGTCTGTGGCTCTTACTGGAGGAGCCACATCAGCTCTGTCTGTCCAGATGGAGACCCTGCTGGAGCTCTACAAGTATCCACAGGTGGGTGATAGTGACCCTGTCTCTTTCCGAGGCTTTATCAGATCCTAGGAGGCAGTGGGATCAGGAGGCCCAAGGTAAAAAATCTACCTCCTCTACATAGTGGCTATGTGACCTTGGCTGAGCCCCTTAATCTCTCAGTACTCTAAAGCTACTCTCAGAGACAATACATTTCAAAGAAGGTAAAAACTTGGATTGGGAGAAGTTGCATCTTGCCTAGAAATTCCTACCACATGACATCACCAGTATAATTTTGAAAACTTACTCATGGGAGAGAGTGGGCCTGCCCTTGAGCACTGCACCCCCTCTATTATCAAAGACATAGTCAATGTCATCTGACTTCTATTACTGAAGTAATCCTAGAGATTTTGCCAGTCTGATTTCCCACTAACCAGAGAAAGTGAGCATCAGGGGGATGAAACATCTTCCCCAAAGTCTCAAGTAAAATTGATGGGTGGGCTGGGACTATAACCCACATGTGTTTCATATGTGTTCATTGCTTTAAGCACTACATCATATCATCGGTGTTTCATCCTTATGTGATATATTGTCTATGAATATTATTATCAGTTTTCTTTTCCCAAAGGATTCTTTTTTCAATAGAAGGAATAGTGAGCATTGATATGGAAAGTGCAGGTTCTAGGTAACAATGATTACAGTGTCTTTCAATTCTTGGAGAGGGGAAAGGAAGGGAACCTTAATGAGACAACCTTCTCACTAAAAAAAGAAGAGCTTACTAATACAAATTTCCACTCTCCCTCACACTACTAAATTCATGACAATATGAATGTCTGATTATGCTTCTCAAATTCTACTTTGGCTTTCACTTCAAAGACCAATCACTGTAACATTGCCTCTAGGCTGCTGTGAAAGATTGTGATTCACCCTTAACTCTCACAGCAAAATTAAAGTTTTCTATTAATACTCTCAAATGCTTCCCTGACTTGGAGAAATCTACTTAGTCATGGATAGGGAGAGAGATGAAAGAAACTTTTTTATTTCTACATTGAATGCAGAATGGGTATTTAAAAAAGACTGAAACCGTGTTAGTGTTAAATTTGAATGTTTTAAAGCCTATTTAATGAAGAGAAATGTAAGGAACTTTCAGAAGTTCACAAATAACCCAATGGAGTTATTGAGGCAGATGCAGCCATGACACAGTTTGCATTGATTATTTTCCAAAACTTTATCATCATCTTCTGCAAATATAGTTGGCCATTGGCAACTATCAGAGGTCTTAAAGCTTTCAAAGTTAAATTTATTTACAATGTTACTTTTGCATAAATTTTTCTCCTGGCTGTGTTCACTTCATTTGAAATTAGTTCATACAAATCTTTCCAGGTGTCTCTGAATCAGCTCTCATTTTTTTTGTTACTAAACAATGATATCCCAATGCATTTATACACAACAGCATACTTACAGCAATTTGCTAATTATTGTAATTTTCCTACATTCAATAACTTCAATATGACTAAAAAAGCTGCTCTAAGTGCTTACAAACATATGGACTTTTTTCTCTTTCCTTGCTTTATTTAGTTGAAGTGGACTGTTGGAATTTTCTTTTTTCTCTATTGCCACTTCCAGAATCTCCCTCTCCTTCCATTACTCAGCAAACTCTTTCCTCTGGAGAGTTGAAAGTTCCTTTGAAAGTTCACTCAATCAACATTTCCCTTCAATCAAGATTCTAATCTATACTATCTACTGACTTCCAGGACATACTCCTTCCTCAATGAGTTCAGTGCCTAATTCAGTCTCTCTTTTCTACTCAACTCCCATTGTAGATGACATTGGAAAATATACTAATATTCCCTCATTCTACGTTCTCATTTCCAGTGATATATTCCTTCATCTCACCTCAGCTACACACAGAGAGGGTCACAGAATTCACCATGGAATCCCTCAAAAATGTTCCATTTCTATGTTCATAAACTTAGAAATCCAATTATTGTGTGACAAGCTATTGTGATTCTACAACTCTCTGCAAAATTCCTTCATCTTTATCCTCATCTAAAATCCCTGTAGCCTAAGTTCATGCCATGTCAGTGCCCCGCCATGATGTACACTACCACCCTTTTCCATATTGAACCCAACATGAACCATTCCAACTCTCTACTGTTCTCTTGAATCCCTTGCTCCCTATCAAAAATGTTGCCCTGATATGCACCAGTCTTATATTACTCTCACCATTCCCTGGCTTCACTCTTTTCACACACTGCTGAAAGAAGCTGGAGAAAATCATGCAAACATGTTGAATAGATCCAAATGGGTGATAGTTGATGATCTGAGAGGTGAGGAATTCCTTCAGGAACTCAGAATGGAATGGCAAATAATGTTGTCTGTGTGTCCTTCACAGAGAAGATCCCTGTCAGAGAGAGAAGACACACAGAATCACACATGGCATTCATGCCCAGAATCATGGCATCACCGACCAGAGTGATTTTCATTCATTGTGACACAGCTTCATTAATGATCTTGAGATATTCACAATTTCCTGTTCTTGCAAATTACAAGGTGTGGGTCACCACTTCTCACTGGGACATTACCATGAGACCCAGTTATTTCGGTGGTTATAATTTCCATGGGGCACTTAAATTTTCACACCTCACAAGTGAAGTTCCTTGTTTTAAGGCTTTTCTCAGGACAGTGAGCCCTGCTAAGTACTCAGAGGACATTTTATTGAAAGAATTCTGGCCTCAACATTCAGAAGTACAGATGACCCTGAAAACCTGAAACAAGAAGAATGTTCACTAAATGCCTCCTTGAAGACCTTGTCATTGCTTTACTCTGACATGACCATGTCTGACTTGAGTTACACCATCTACAATGGTGTTTATGTTGTGGCTTGGACCCTCCATGAAATGTTCCTGATGAAATTAGAAAAAGGATCCATGGTAGAAGAAAAAGCTGGGTTCCTTATCCATGGCAGGTAATATTCCTTTAAAACTGTGTGTTTTGCATTGCTGGGAATGGAAGTCTGACCAGAGTTTGCATAGGCTGGGATCCTCAAAGAGTATTTGAGTCAGGAATCATTCAGCCAACAATTACTTATTAAGTGCCTGCTATGAGTCAGGTACTGTGTTAAGGGCCTGGGAGAAGAAGAAAGGTAAAATAGTCTCTGATTTCTAGTATTTAATCCACTGGTAGATATTACTTGCAAAGAACTGTGTATAAGTAAGATACATAAGGCATAAATTTGAAATAATCAGCAGAGGGAATACATTAAATTCAGGGTGATTGTGAAGTGCCTCCTACAGAAGGTGTAGTTTTAGATTAGACTTCAAAGAATCCAGAAAATCCAGGAAGCAGAGATGTGGAGCAAGAATACTCCAGGCATAAAAGATAAGGGGAAGGCCTAAAGCTAAGAGATGAAGTGTCTTTTTTTTTTTTGACAAACAATGAAGATGCCAGTGTCAATGGATGCTGGGATATCTTTTTGAAAAGTAGGGGGCAGGTTGTGGAGGACTCTGGAGTAAAACAGAGGATTTCATACTTGATGCTGCAGTTTATAATCATGTGAATTAATGTAATAGCTATTTATAAGATCAGATTTGAAATCTAGGAAAATTCCTTTGACAGCTGAGTGGAGAGAGAACTAGAGTCAGAAAGATCTATAGTGGGGAGAGACTTATGGAAGGCAGACCACCCATCACACTATTGGAAGAGTCCAGGTAGGCAGTGTTGAGGGCATGAAACAGAGTTGTGGCAATGGATGCAGAGAGATGATGGCAAATATGTGATACGAAGTTATATCATCAATATTTGGTAATAGATTGGATATGAGAGGGTGAGAATGAGTGAGGAGTTAAGGATAATACTTCAGGGCCCGGGTGATTGGGAATAAAGTGGTACTCTCAACCGTAATAGGGAAGTTGAAAAGAAGGAAGGGTTTGGGAGAGGGAAGAAGACTCACATGGAGCCATACAAGGACACTCTCAAGGTCTCTCTGAAGAACATTGGTATTGATTGTGAGACAGGGGAGACATCTGCTTAAGGCTGCCCAGCATGGGATGCCAACATCAAAGAATGCATTGTGCTCTCTGAAGAAAGTATGATTGGCAATTGCGGTGGTACAAAGGAAAGATGGTATGTGCAAATTTAAAGACACCTCCACTTCAAATGTTCATATGAACTATGCGCCTGATCTGTGATAGAACCTTTCAAACTTATGTTGCTCTAATTAGCCACAGCCAGACATAGTGATGTCATGTTGGTCCACTTTCAGCAGAAAACAACAATCTTACTAGTACTGTATTTAAAAATTTTCATTAATATTCATTAGAAAACAGGACTACAATTTTCTTTCTTGGTTTTTGTTCTCTTTGGCTTAGGTATCAAAACCATATTTGGCTCATAAGAACAATTTTATGTGACTATTTTTTTGAAACCTATTTTTTCAAACAAGTTATATACTGGCAGAATTAAATATTCCTTAAATTTTTGATATAAATGCACTTGTAAATCCATCTGGTCCTATGGTTTTTCTCTCAGGGGCATTATTCATGGCTTGTACAAATGCTTTTTCTCAGATTGAGTTGTTTAAGTTTATATTTCTTTCTGTTGTTTTGGAAAATTTATATTTTTTTTAAATGTTCATCTAGTTCATTTAGAGTTTTAGATTTTGGCACATAGTTGTCTAAAATTTTTGAATAATTGTTTTAAGTGTCTTTCTTGACCGATGGTGAAATTGCCCTTTAAAATTTTTAAGACTGGTAACTTGGTTTTCTTTTGTATTAAAAAGCCCAAATTAGCTGGTAGTGAAGCCAAGATGGTGGAATACAGGCAGCAACCCAGATGAACTCCCCTAACATTCCCCTTCAAACAGCTTTAAGATAACACCTTATGTTCAACTGTCTGTTCATATCCTTTGACCATTTATCAATTGGAGAACGACTTGTATTCTTACACATTTCACTCAGTTCTCCATATATTTTAGAAATGAGGCCCTTATCAGAGACACTGGTTGTAAAATTTCTTTCCCAATTTTCTGTTGCCCTTCTAATCTTGTTGCATTGGTTTTGTTTGTGCAAAAACTTTTCAATTTAATGTAATCAAAATTATCCATTTTGTATTTTATAATGTTCTCAATCTCTTCTTTGTTCATCAATTCTTCTGTCTTCCATAAATCTGACAAGTAAACTGTTCCTTGCTCTCCCAGTTTGATTATAGTATCAGTCTTTACACTGAAATCATGTCCCCATTTTGACTTTATTTTCATGCTTGGTATAAGCTACTGGTTTATGCCTACTGTCTGCCATACTCTTTTCCAGTTTTCCCAGTAGTTTTTGTCAAATACTGAGTTCTTATCTCAGAAGCTGGGGTCTCTGGGTTTATCAAACAGTAGATTACTGTAGTCATTGACTACTGTGTCTTGTGTACCTAAACTATTCCCCTGATCCACCACTGTATTTCTTTAGCAGTACCAAGTAGTTCTGATGATTGCTACTAAGAACATATATTCTTACCAATATCCCTGTTATTGCTGTGCTTTTCCTTTGATCTTGAAGATCATGACATCAGAGGTGATGATGACTTGCAATTGACTTTGATTTGAGGGAGGAGGGTTGTGCAAGGTCACCAGCCTCACTTTTTTCTTCAGAACCATCTGAGCCCAGTGGCCACATATTCATCAGGAAGCCTGGAGTTGGCCCAGGATGCAACAGGAGACCTTGGCCCTGTTAAGCTAATCTCATTTTGAGTGAGGTAATGCCTATTCAGTCAAGGGATGGCCCCTTTAATAAAAAAAAAATCAAACTGGGAGGGGAAGCCCCTCGGTGTTGTTGGCCAAAAGAAAAACTGTTACTATTTACATTCACTTTGAGCTGGGAAGGCCCAAAAGATAGCCATCAGGTGGTGCTTGGGCAGGGACCTCTTGTTGTCGAGCATCCTTAGGATCCAGCTGGCTATCATAATAATTAAGTGAGATCTGCAGTTTGATGGGTTTCAAGCAGGAGTTTGTACTGACAGAAAGGAACTAATTTAGTAATATGGGGTAGCATAATGGAACTCCAATGGGTGCAGGGAGGACTGAGGAGGTAAGTAAGACATGGTGGCTTAATTTAAAAAATCAACAAAGTCTGAGCCCTTTTGCTCTGAGAACTCACAACAGCAGTGTGTGGAGCAATAGGGCAGTACATTGACTAGACCTTTCCAGAGGTAATGATAGTGGTCACTTGACTGCAGTAGGACAGAACAATGCCAGTGTGAGGAGGAGGCAAACGCTTTAAGAATCAATGCACTCTTCCTAAGGATAGAAGTGATAAATGGGAAAACACAACCCCACACCTATTTCAGGGGGTAATGCTGTGTAACAGCTATTCCTATTATAACTGAAAAATTCCCTTTTGTAAAAGTTAACTGATGTTAATAAGTGTAATGGGACATTAATCGCTGGTGGTTACCTTTGGGAAGGCTTGAACTAATGGCAGTGGAGAGAGAAACCAACAGCTCCTCAGTAACCTGCCTGGAAGCTTGAGGGGAAGAGGTAGTCTTCTTAAGAACTTGACACACATGCAAGGATGGGAGTTTGGAAAAGGCTTATAGGAACTACATCTGTTTTTATTTAGGTATGTTCTCTCTCCAATTGGAATATAAGGCCTTGAGAATACAGGCTGATTTTAAGTCCTTTTGTATCTCAATTTCTTCACATAATGTGCAATATATTATAGGCACTTAATTGAATCTTAGTGACTATGGACTGACTTCCTGAACAACTCACAGGTCTTCATTCTGGGAGATTACTGACCTCAGTTTCTCTTCTCTTATAGTTCCTCTCATTTCTAAAGACAATGGAGTTTTAACAACACTGCAGGTGACAGTGTTTGTGATGAGAATAGAAACCCTGAGGCTCAGTATAAAATCCTCAACTACGTAATTTTCCAAAATGATGTTCAAGCTCTGGTGAAAGTCGGACAGTTCAACCCCAAGGCTCAGCCTGGTCAATATTTTACCATTAACGAGGAGGCCATAGTGTGGACCTGGACATATACCAAGGTTAATAACAATTGTAATATCAACCTTACTATCTAATCATGAGAACACATTTTACCCCCTTAGCTCACTCCATATTCCTTTTTCAAGGGTAGACAATCCTCTTGCACACTGATTTCATTTCCCTTTGTAGGAAATATCTGGGTAAAAAAGTCAAAAAGGCAATCTATAATTTTAAACTTGGGATCATTAGTACCATTGGAGACAAAGCTAGAATGGACATTAAAGCTCATCTTACTCAGCCATGTCATTTCACATAAATAAACTAAGACAACAAAGTGGTGACTGCCCAGTGACCTCTGATCCTAAGGCCAGGAGTTTGGTCAGATATCCAGCATTTTTGTGGATGATGACACCCAAATGTTCATTTTATTTCAGTAAAAATAAAGCAATATTTAATCATTAAAGGACCTTACATTTATGGAGCTGAGCAACAATTTGACATTTAATTCCTGAAACTCACTGGATTTCTGAACTGAACAAATTGTTTCTCTGTAGGACGTGGAATTTTCCTTTTCAATTATACTGAATGCTGAATCAGTCTCATATTTGAGGTATCTATGTCCTGCATTCTTCATGCAGACAGATTAAGTGTATTCCAGAGGAGTCACTTCCATTTCCTTCAGTCACTTGGATCATAACTATCAAAGAGACATAGCTGGTATTGAGAATTACAAAATGCTAGATGAATAAGGACAACAAGATAGCAGGGTGTTCAAATTGCTCTGCTTAGAAATGACTGAAGTCCACAAAGTTTAAAAGGTTCAGTCAGTTTCCCACAGCTAGTGGCAGAAATAAGACTAGCTCCCAGGTCTCTGTTTTCCACCCAGTGCTCCTTCTGCCTCAAGTTCCATTTATGCATGAACAGTTCTCTTATTTCTCTCACAGAATAAGCTCACTTTGCCCGAAAATCAATATCATTCACCTTCTGATTATATACCATCCTCTGTCTGGTTAATTATGAAAGCCATCATGCATTTTACTCCCTTGTCACTAGGTTCCCTGTGCCACACAGTGAGAGCTGTGGTCCTGGATTGAGGCAAACACCTCTGGAAGGACAGCCCATCTGCTGTTTCAACTGCTCCCTGTGCCCTGAGGGAGAGATTTCCAATCAGATGACTCAGTGTCTGCAGGTAGCTTTCCTCCTACACTTACTGAACTGAGTGAACTCATGTGCTCTAGGATCACAAACAACTTCATCATTGTCTGAGCAAGACGATATCCAGGAGCAAGGTGAGTCAGCAACGAGTTCAGATCAGGACAAGTGGATTGAATTAATGATACACGGCTAAAATATTGTGTCCAACTTTATTATTCAAAATGAGACCTACAAAAAAAAAAGTAACCTTGCCCTATCTGTTATACAATGTAATTTTATGGTCTTTTTAGGGTTTCACATGTAATGGGATAGGCTTCGCTAGAGTGAGGAGGAGTATGTACTCTGCACAATATTTGTGATAACGTGAGGTTGAGTTTATGTGTATCTTGGGTACAACATTCATCAAGAACTTTGGACTAGTGTTGGCTTGGGAGAATTACTCCCACTAGTAATAGGTACCCATGATATGTGGAGGATGTTCTGTCATCCCTATCCCCTGCTATATTTGCAAGTTAAAATTTGATAAATGATCTAGAAAGGGAAGTCTACCATGAATTCTGTAGAAGAGCCTCTGTATTCCCTCCAAGCCATCTGTCACAGAAGACCTTGACCTTCTTTTCAGAGTCAGTGTGGACGGTGTTACTTGGGTCATTGATTATGCAACTCCACCAGTGCAACACCCTATTATATATTTATAGACTGGGAAAGAGTCACACTCCAATAGTAAAAACATTTAAGATTTTTAAACAATGTAAACAATCAGTGAAAAGTCACATATTAGAATCATTTTGGCCTCTGCACACTAATGACTTCATAGTACTAAACCTAATGAGATGGGTACAGGATTAGAGGATGAGAGGGAAGGGTCCTCCACAGTGGATGGGAAATAATACACCTAGGGATGTCTAATAGATAAATGGGGAAATTTTTTTCTTAAGTACTTCAGAAGGTTGGGGTAAGGAAACTCAGTAATTCTACTGATATGATTTCAATGGTTGATTGAGATCTAGTACATTTCATGGGGCTAGATGTACTGACCAAAGTATCAGCTCCCTTCTTGTGGGTACAAACTCTTGCATTTTTCTTCCCATCTGTTGCATCTGTTTTTCTTGACTTACATTGATGCATAGAGGAGGCAAACAGTCCCTGGAATACCAAAAGCAATTACAATTTTCTTTTCTTTTTCTTGAGGCAATCCAGGGTAAGTGACTTGCCAGGGTCACACAGCTAAAACGTGTTGGAGGCAAGATTTGAACTCAGGTCTTCCTCATACCAGGGATGTTTACAAGGTTCCCTGAGCCAAAGAAGGGAGAGCTAGCCTGTGACCAAGTCTAGGACTCAACACTCTACTCTTGTGCAACCAATGCATGACATTGAAGAGGCTTATTTGGAATAGTCTCTCCTCTCTCCACAACCAAAAACGAGTTATTCTGAGCCCAACTATGGCCTTCAAATCGTACAGGCTCCTGAAAATGAGGATAATCCCCTCAACAACCCCAATCCAGTGTCCTGTCTCATATAGAATATTTCCATGCATGGATGACACCCAGTGAACAGTTGAGGTGGATGGTCACCAGATGAAGGAATCATGGAGTTGCTCATTGTCATTTAATTTATTTAACGGTGGATGATTTGACCAATTTACTCATTTGGCTCCAACTTACACTCACGTATGGAAATGAATAAATTCAGGAAAAGACAAGATGTTGTAGCATTACTTATATCCTATTGGATTGTAAGGCCTCTATGGGCAGATATTGCTTAATTCTTTGAGTTTGTAACTCAAGTATTAGGCCCACAGCAGACACTGAACTCTTCATTTATGGTTTACTATGTAGCAAACTTATCATACTATCTCCATGTACAGTAATTGCTATAACATAATGGAGTCAGAAAGGATTGAGACAAGGAAGGGCTCCAGTTTCTACATCACTGTACTATAACAATAGATCCATAGGAAAAGTTTGCATTCAATTAGGAAATCTGAATACTAGAAAAATAAAGTCAAATTTAACAATAATGAGTATATATAGAATTACTGTATTGCACACTGGTTACTTTTCAATGACCATCTCACAGCATAGAAAGTTTTTATGCCTTCTGAAGTAAGAAATAACTTCTTTGAGCAATTTTACCTATTTTCTATGTATGAGGGTGGGGAAAATTTATTGCATTTAAAATCCTAAGAGCTTGTTTGTCTCTTGCAGATATGTAGCACTGTGTGAAGTGCCCAGAAGATGAATATCCAAATAAGGAAAGAAATCAATGGCTCCCCAAGGTTACGAATTTCCTGGATGTTTCAGAACCTTTGGGGATAACTCTGATCTGTGCAGCTCTTTCCTTTTCTCTGATGACAGCTCTGGTTCTCTGGGTATTTGTGAAGTTTCAAGACACCCCCATAGTGAAAGCCAACAACCAGGCTCTCAGCCCTACCCTCCTCATTTTCCTCATCTTCTGTTTCCTCTGCTCCTTACTCTTCATTGGCCATCCTACTTCAGTCACCTGTCTCCTCCAACAAACAACATTTGGAGCTCTGTTTACCATAGCCGTGTCCTCAACCTTGGCCAAAACCATCATGGTTGTTTTGGCGTTCAGGGTTACCAAACCAGGGAGCAGGGGCAGGATATGGTTGCAATCCAGTGTGTCTAACTCTGTTGTCATTATCTGTTCTGGAATTCAAGGGGTTCTCTGTGCCATCTGGCTGGGAACCTCTACCCCCTTTCCTGACATGGACCCACACTCTGAACCTGGCCACATCATCATGAAGTGCAATGAGGGCTCTCACTTTGCCTTCTGCTCTGTCCTGGTCTGCATGGGATTCCTTTCACTTTGTAGCTTCACAGTGGCCTTCCTGGCCAGGAGCATGCCTGACACCTTCAATGAAGCCAAGTTCATCACATTCAGCATGTTAGTGTTCTGCAATGTGTGGGTCTCCTTACTCCCCAAATACCAGAGTACCAAGGGCAAGGCCATGGTTACTGTGGAAATCTTCTCCATCCTAGCATCTAGTGCTGGCTTACAGAGTGTGATCCTGCTGAGGCCTGACAAAAACACCCAGGAAAATATCAAGAATACAGTGAGCTCCACGGGCAGGAACCTTTCTGGATCATTGCCTACTAATTCCTCCCAGAGGTATATTCAATTTTAAGTATATTAAGCATACCAATAGAGTGGGGCCCTGGGAAATTTCACCTCTTGTCTGCTGTCTATGACCTTAGAATTCTACGCCATACCTTCTTCTATTTATGCCTGCCCTCAGATGAGTTTTCTGACCATTTCCAAGACATGGAAACCACAACTTATGATGAAGTCAGCATGGAACAATGACACTGATATTTCTAATTAACTATCTCCTTTAACAGACATCATGCCTATCACTGATGTCCTTTCTAGACTACTAATAAAATGTTTTAGACACCTTCATCCTCTTATTTTGATAATAATACTTATATTGAAGTGCCAGCTTTCAAATACTAACCCCCTCATCCATATCATATGTTTCCTTCCTCATTGTCATCTTCCTCAATTCTCACATCAATATCTACTCAATATTTGATACCACATTCCCTGCATTCTTTGGAATGCCTGCTGCATAAATTATAAACTTTCTTTCATCTTAAACTTCTAACTTCTCACTCCTTTACTGTTCTAACATTCACTAAGACCTACTTCCTTGCAGATGAACCTCATTCCTTCAGCACACGTTCTAGTACAATCTTCACTTTCTCTCAGGTTCATCCCTCCCCCCAAAACCTAATTAATTTTTGGAGTGGCTGTTTCAGAGTATTTTTTGCTCCACAGTGCTGCTCTGGCTTTCTGTCAACATCTGTTATTCAGCAATTTCTCTCTCTCTCTCTCTCTCTCTCTCTCTCTCTCTCTCTCTCTCTCTCTCTCTCTCTCTCTCTCTCTCTCTCTCTCTCTTTCATGTCCATGTTATCCAAAATTAGTCAGTGAGTCTTCATTTCCCTGGCTGTTATATGACATTATCCCTGCCTTGAACATTTTCTCTTCTTCATTACTAAATCCAGTGCTTCACTCACTTTTGTTTTTCCTGCACCTCAATTACTGATATTATTCCATTTGTTTTAAAAAGACCTGTTGATAATTCCTTTAATGCCATAACTCATCAATTCCTCAATTTACATAGTTTGTTTCTAAACTCCACCTCACCTACAAAAAGAGACAGTAACTACTCCTGTCTTGCTGACATCCATAAGTTTTACACTCATTTGTGAACTGCAATTCCTTCATCTGAATGTATTCTTTTGGTTTTATTTGTACCACAATGTTTAATTCCTGTATTTCTGAATCTTATTTTTATTTTCAGTTAAAAATTCACTTCTTCCCTCCATCCCTCCTGCATTATTGAGAAGGCAAAACATATTATACCTGTTGTATCTATGAACCCATAAAAATATATTTTCACTTTAGCTGTATTCCAAAAAGGCAAGAATAATAAATAGAAAAAAATATACTTTAATCTATTTTCTGAATCTATATTTTCTCTATCCAGAGGTGGATAATCTTTTTTTCTTTAACAGTCCTTTGCAATTCTGGTGAATTATTGCATTGCCCAGAGTTTTTAACTCTTTCAGGGTTTATTATCTTTACAATATTGCTGCTACTGTGTACACTGTTCTCCTGGTTCTTCTCACTTCATTTTGCATCAATGCATACAAATCTAGGTTTTTCTGAAACCAAGTCTTTCCTCATTTCTTATGGCATAAAAGTATTGTTCCAGAGTCTTCCAGTGCCAAGATGAAGGAGTGAGGAAGGAACTCTCTGGAGCCCTTCCAAATTCTCCTGCAAACAAGGTGAAAACCACCTCAGAATTCATGTAGGAGCAGGAACACAGCTTAGCAGCATGGCAGGAAAGGTCTGTCTCACTGGTGTGGGAATGGAGCAAGGTCTAAGAGCAGCAACAGAAGACAGCCTCATAGTAGGGGACCTTCATCAAGGCGCCAAGCCTGAGGCAATCCACCAGGGATCCCCCATCTTCCTGCAAACCAGCAGCTCCCTAGGCTAGTGAGCAGTCTGTGCAGCATAGCATGTCCCCACCCTTGCAACACTACCCCCAGCTACTAGTGAGGCTTTGACCCCACTGAAGTAGAAAAACCCTATCCTGGGGCTGGCCAACATCAAGACCCACCTCTGAGTTCAACCAGTATAGAGACCCTGGTTCCATAGCAACCTAGTGGCAGGCCCCATCCATGGGGCACATCAGCAGCAAAATTACTTCTTCAGGGCCAGCCACCAGAAACACTTTGTTATCACAGCACCCCAGCAGTAAGGCTCCACCCATGCAGCAGGCCAGCAGCTAAATCCTACCCTAAGTGAGGCCAAAGGGGATGTCCCACACTCTAGTACAAGCAAAAAGGGAAGCCTACCCTTCTCAGAGAAAGCAATCAGCTAAGCATGAAGCCCAGTGAAAGCCAGCAGTAAGACACAGAACCAGAGCCCAACTTACACATAAAAACTCCAAGTCACAAAAAAGGGCACAATACATGAGCAAAAAAGACCGAAGAAAGAAAGAGCTTGACTGTAGAAAGTTACTATCGTGATACATAGGATCAAGGCATAAACTTAGAAGAAGACAATAGTGTCAAAATGGCTATATGTGAAACCTCAAAGAAAAATGTAATTTGGTCTCAGGCCAAAAACAGTTCTTGGAAGAGGTTTGAAAGCATCTAAAAAACAAATGAATAAAGTGGAAGACAAATTTGGGAAAGAAATGAAAATAATGGACTGAAAATCAAGAAAAAAGAGTCAACTTGCTGGTACAGATTGAGACATGAGTAATGCCTCTAGAGGTGAACTAGTTGAATCATCTGTGTTCCTAATCGCTACCTGAGATCATCAGATTGACAGGCTGAGAGCAAGTGTCTGTAGCAACCAACAAGGGAACAACCGTGGCAGCATGAAGCAATATCTTGTGAAGACTGCTCTGGGCAGGATGCTGAGACCTAGATTGCAGCTCAAGTTTTAACGTGCTATTTACTACATACAAAGCTCCATACTCTGAACCTCAGTTTCCTAATTTGTAATATGAATAATAATTGCTCCTACCTCCCATGGTTGATGTGAGGATCAAGTGGGATTGTTTCAAACTGCTTTGCAAACAATAAAATGCTAACCCCAGTGTGAGCCCTTTTATTATTGCCTCTTCATGCATATTCAGAGGTCTAAGGAAGGAAAGAGGCTCCTCCACATTATTTCCAAACAGAATTATAGAGCTCTGCATTTATGATTTTTAATAGCACATTTTTAATTAATAACACATTTCCACTTGTTCTTTTGAAAGAATTGAATGTATCTCAAAACAAATGATCAGAACATTCTTCCTCCTTAGTGTATCAATGCCCTGTTCTCTGTGCATTGACCACCTCCCCTTTCAGAGTGAGTCACAGTTACCAATTGTGAAACAGCAACAAATTCTTCACTTTGCCCCAGAATCTGTGAAGTAATATAATGAATAAAAAACATTTGTGAGACTCATTTTGTACTAAGCACAATGCTAAACACTTGCAATAGAAATACAAAAGTGATACTATTCATGTCCTCAAATGTCATCATTCTAATAATAGTGGATGATGACACATGGAAGGAAGATATGCCTGTGGGAAGGCAGGTAAGGGAGTTTTGATCTGAGGAGTCACAAGAATGGGAAGTATAACAAAGCAGTGGTTCTATAACAAGCCCTTTGAAAGACAGTAGTAGTGGGGAATTGATTGCATTTCTCAAGGAAGAAATGGAAGGGAGCAGATGGATTCCAAAGCATCAGGGCAGAACATGGTGACAGTGAACAGGAGGCTGCATGGTCCAGAGCTCAGCCACCAATCTCTCCTCAGGCATGGCTCCTTGGGAGTTTGTGCCCTGAGCTTCCCTGTCAACACAGCTCCTTTTTGGTCAGGTTTTCTTTTTGTGCTGTTTTCTCATTTTTACAGCCATTTTTGATTTTGGACTTTTAGTTAGAGGTGGGATCTGCTCACCTGGCTGGGGGGAGTCACTGGCCTGAGCTTCAGACTTTTTCACCCTGATGTTTTCATAGCTAGCTCAGGAGGTCTGTAATTTTTAGTGCTTCTAAGGTAATATGATCCAGCTACAGTTGTGCTTACCACTCTTCTCACTTACACTCTTGTCCTTACCCAAGTATGGTCTCTACTCTCTGGTGAGCACCACTGCCCCTCCCCAGAAGTAGGACCTCTACTCAGGTAGCGCCACTACACCCTTGGCACAGACCTATGACCCAGAACTCAGTAATGGGCAAAGTGACCAATGGCCACTGCATCCAGCGTTAGCACAGGGACCCCACAATCCCAATTGTTAATAACGCATGAAACCTGCTCGATATCACTAATAACTACAGAAATGCAAATTAAAACAGTAGACATACCACCTCACACTCACATATTTGCAAGTTCGCAAAAAGATAAGTGCTAGTGAGGTTGTGAGAAAATGGTACTAATGATGCACTGCTGGTATAACTGTGAACTTGTCTATCTATTTTGGAAAGAATTTCAAACTACTCCTAAAAGCTATTGGAAACCTTAGACTCAGTGATACATTGGTATGTCTGAATAACAAAGAGATCAAAGAAAAATAAAAAAGAATCATAGGTACAGAAATATTTCTACCATTCTTTTTATGATGAAATATAAATAGAAAATGAGGGATGATGGTCAATTGGGAGATGGCTGAACAAATTGTGGCACGTGAATATGGTAGAATATTATTGTGCTACAAGGAATAATGAAGGAGTTGGTGTAAGAGGAACCTGGAAAACCCACATGAACTGATAGAAAGTGAAGCGAACAGAACTGAACTCTGATCAACACAATGACAAACTGCAATTCTAGACGACTCATGGTGAAACATCATGAAGCTTCAGATAGAGAGGTGGTGGACTGAGAGTAAAGATTTGGGCTTTTCTCGGTGTAGGCAAATACACATATCAGTGAATGCAAGAACGTGCATGTATGTGTATATAGAGGCATGTAAGTATATGTGTGTGTGTGTGTGTCTATACATATGTACACCAATCTGTGTGTGTGTGTCTATACACATGTACACCACTGTATATGTGTGTGTGTGTGTGTGTGTGTGTGTGTGTGTGTGTGTAAGAGTCTCACATGGCCAATGTGCTAATTTGTGTTGCTTCATTGCCCATGTGTAGTGAGTTTTGTTTGTCTCTTTCTCAATGAGGGAATAGGAGGGGATTTGTAAAGAAGAGAATTTAAACTAGGAAATAAAATCAAATTCAATTTAAACAAGTACCATATGTTCCTGTACTATTCAGACTATGCTGTTAATGAGACCCCGCTGTTGTGTTATCTTTAACGTGCACTAAATTCATTAATCCAATGAAAAGCATAAGTTTAAAAGTGAAACTTAGAGTTGACACATTCTCTTACATTTCATGCAGAGTCTAATGATCACTCCACCCCAGTACATACACCCTTCACATATACACACATTGTTTCTTAGAGATGCTTGTAAAGGAAGAACTCGTTTCACTTTCACATTCATATTGCCAGGACCTAGTGCTGCCCAAACACACTTCGGAATTCCAAATACATTCTTGATGACTGGTTGATTGATGGTGCTTAAAGGTTTGCTGGGATATAATGTGTCCCAAAGGAAGAATCCAGGAAGATAAAACTGCAGTCCCTGACTAGAAGCAGGTCATTTGCAGAGACTGAGGTTATGTAGCAAAAAAAAGAGCAGAAAACTTTGGAGGGACAAGAGTCCTAGATGGTAGAAC